GGGGGGGGGGGGGGGGGGAAGGACCAGGCGGGTGGCAAACGGGCAAGTCACGTACGCCCTTCCAGGCGCAGGTTGCGCAGCTTGGAGGGATGGATCCACCTCCCGACATAGGGATCGTTGACGTGGGGCTCGGTGGACACCCACTTCTCGCGCCACCGGTCAAAGGCCCCGGGAGCGGGGTTGTTCTTGCTGGCGAGAATCTTCTCGGCCAGGGCCACCCCCTCGGGGGTCTTGTCAAAGTCCTCGGTGACACGGTGGAAGATCATCCGCGGGGAGCCGGTCGCGCGGCCGCGCCCAAACTGCATGGCGGCACACGACCAGGAGGGAGGGGCAATGGAGGGATGCATCACAGCAAAAGTCGAGCAGGAGACAGAGGAGGGGAGGGAAGGAGGAGGGGGGGGGGGAGACATCAGTTAGGAAACCGAGCAGATCAAGACAGAGGAAGACCAGCGGGCCGGACGAGGCCAGGAGCGCCCATACCTGAGCGAGAGTGTCCGCCTCCTCGGTGGGATAAGTGGCCGGGACGGCCTTGCGGCCGCCGGTGCCGCGGCGCTTGGCCGCAGCCGGAGCCGCGGCCGGGGGGGCAGCAGAAGCGGACCCCTCCTCCGGTGCAATCGGCTGGCCAACGGGCTGGCTGTCCGTGGTGGGAGAGGCGCTGCCAGCGGAGGCGGCGGCGGCGGCGGCGTCGGCCGCGGCAATGGCCACAGCCACCGCAGCAATGGTGGCCAGGCCATCGGCCATCGGCTGGCGCAGGACACTGTTCTCGACGGCCGACAGAGCCGGGCTCGAGGCCGGCGATGCATCCACCACCGGCAGTCGAGGGGTGGAGATGGAGGCAATGGTGGCCGCAGCGGCCTCGGCTTCGGCGGCATCAGCCGCCGCCGCGGCATCAGCAGCAGCCGACCGCCGGGTGCGCTTGGCAGGCGGAGCGACCGGGGTGGTGGCCGCCGTGTCGGCCTTACGCGCACGCGTGCGCTTGGCCGGAACAACCGAAGCGGGAGCCGCCCCAGTGGGAGCCGCCACGGTGGGAGTCAGCACCGGGGCAATCGGCCCGGCAAGGGCGGCCGGCTGAGGGAGAGTAGCCGGAGCGGCGGTGGCCGTCGCCGTCGGAGCAGCCACGGTGGTCGGAGAAGCCAGGGTGGTCGGAGCAGCCAGGGTGGTCGGAGCAGCCAGGGTGGTCGGAGGAGCCAGGGTGGTCGGAGGAGTCACGGTGGTCGGAGGAGCCACGGTGGTCGGAGGAGCCAGGGTGGTCGGAGCAGCCAGGGTGGTCGGGGCCATGGTCGGGACACTTGGCCTTGGGTCTGGCGTGGGGGCGATCAACACGGTGGCCGCGGCGGCCGTTGGGTCCGGCGTGGGCGGGATGACGGGATCGGCAAGGGGCGAAAGGATGCTCGACACGGGAGGAGTAGCAAGGGCGGCAACGACCGCCGCAGCAGCCGCCTCGGCCGACCGCCGAGAAGCACGGGTCTCCGTCCGGGACACGACGGTGGCCTTGGCGGCACGCTTGGATTCGCGGCTGGAGGAGGAGGACGATGACCGGGAGCGCTTCGAGGAGGGGGGCTCCTCCGGGGCCAGGGTGGCCGATGGCGGGGAGATCGGAACGAAGGACTCCAACACCGGGGTGGCATCGGCCGGCTGCTGGATGATATGCGAGGCGGTCGGCAGGTCGAAGGTCACCACGGTGGAGCTGCTGGAAGAGGACTTGGGCCGGGACTTGGAGGACTTGGAGGAGGAAGACTTGGAGGAGGAAGACTTGGAGGAGGACTTGGAGGAGGAAGACTTGGACGACTTGGAGGAGGACTTCGAAGACTTGGACGAGGAAGACTTGGACGAGGAGGAGGACTTGGAGGACTTGGAGGACTTCTTTGATGGCTTGGAGGACTGGCGCTCGGCGAGGGGGCTGCCGCTGGCGCCGCCATTCGCCAGCGGGTCTACGGACTTCGAGGACTTGGAGGACTTGGAGGACTTGGAGGACTTGGAGGACTTGGAGGGCTTCGAGGACTTGGAGGACTTGGAGGAGGACCGATCCGAGCGCGAAGAAGACCGCGACCGGCGATCGCTGGAGGAGTGCTCCTCGGCATCAGGGGCCTCGGCCTCCATGCGCGAGGAGGACCGCGAGGAGGACCGCGAGGACTTGGAGCGGGATTTGCCATCGGAGGACTTGGACGAGGAGGAGGAAGAGGAGCGAGACTTCTTCTTGGAGGACTTGCGCGGCGAGTCGGGCAGCGCGGACGAGCTGCCGACGAGGGCGTCGATAGGGGGATGTGCATGGCCCGACATCGCAGGCTGGGGGACCGGCGACGGAGCCAGGTCGGGAGCCGGGTGAGACATCGAGGCTCGGAGGCTGGCAGGTCGGGAGCAAGAGGACAGGCGGGTCAGGCGGAAGAACGGCAAGCGAAGGCCCGGACAGGGGAGCAAATGCCCGTACCGTATCCAGCGGGGGAGGCGGGGGCTATTTGGAGAAAGCGCGGGGGGGGGGGGGAGGTTGATGCACGGGTGTCCGGGAGCGAGGGAGAAGGGGGAAGGGGCAGCCGGGGGCGAGGAGGAAGCAAGCAGAAGGGAATGGAGTGAGGGGGTGTTGCCGAGTGGAGCCCGGCATCCGGGTGGGGCACTGAAAAGAAACCCGGACTATGTTCTCGGCCCACGGGGGTGGCCATTCGGCGCGGCTGTGTCCCCGCTGTCCCGGGCACGAGGG